GGAATGCTGCTGCAGCATGCCTGCTTGCTTCAGTATAAGAAAGAGCAGACATGAACACAAAGAAGGCTTCCAAGACTGCCAAATACGTTTCAGCGGTGGACCATGTAAGACAGTATCCTAAAGGGACCTTGCAGGCAGATGGAGGCAAACTCTTCTGGACCACCTGCAATCTAACTCTGGATGTGTCCAGGAAAAACAGCACCAATTATCACTTGGAGTTGGAGGGACACATGAAGAGGAAGGCTGCTGCAGAGGCTGAAGGTCAGAGCAAGAAGCAAGTGACCATGTCCTCCCTGTTTAAAAGGACCACAGAAAGCAAGTGTGGCAAGGTGAGGTGAGACGGACGCAGCATTTTCCCTCAGGGAGGCTTTTGTGGCAGCCAGCATCCCACTAGAGAAGCTTGATTACCCCAAGTTAAGGGACTACCTGTCCCAAAATGTGCTGAATGCTGGTAGTTTTGTGTGTGCCAACAAGTTTCGCCAGTACTATCTCCCTGCAGGGACTGCTTTGCATGTAGAGTCCAGGAAGGCTGTCTTGGCAGAGTATTATTCATTTTCCATTAGGGCTGATGAAGCCATCAACCCTCAGGACAACTATGTGCTGCACATTTTATTTGTACCAGGAGCTAGACCGACCAGGACCTGCCTGTGTTTCAAACTGAGCCGATCCACCCGACCTCTGTCAATTTTTCCACTGTGTCCCAAGCAATCAAGGACCACAGAAAGCAAGTGTGGCAAGGTGAGGTGAGACGCAGCATTTTCCCTCATGGAGGCTTTTGTGGCAGCCAGCATCCCACTAGAGAAGCTTGATTACCCCAAGTTAAGGGACTACCTGTCCCAAAATGTGCTGAATGCTGGTAGTTTTGTGTGTGCCAACAAGTTTCGCCAGTACTATCTCCCTGCAGGGACTGCTTTGCATGTAGAGTCCAGGAAGGCTGTCTTGGCAGAGTATTATTCATTTTCCATTAGGGCTGATGAAGCCATCAACCCTCAGGACAACTATGTGCTGCACATTTTATTTGTACCAGGAGCTAGACCGACCAGGACCTGCCTGTGTTTCAAACTGAGCCGATCCACCCGACCTCTGTCAATTTTTCCACTGTGTCCCAAGCAATCGTGAAAGTAATTGTCAGCTATGGTGTAGACTTTAACAGGATCTCAGCATTCCTGTCTGACAATGCCATGCATATGTGCAAGGCTTTCTCTGGTGTTCTCCAGGGAATGCTGCCCAACATTCCCTGCAATGAGCACATTTTGTCCGTAGCAAGTAACATCTGGTGCACGCAGTCCCGGGGGGTGGATAGCCTAGTGTCTTCTTTCAAGAAAGCCTTCAAGCACTGTCCAGGTCATAAGATCCAGTACAGGCAGTTGGTTGCTAGTCAAAGTGGAGACTCAGGTGCCATTGTGCTGCTACCACCAGAGCCTGTGCTGATACACTGTGGAACTCCTGGTTCAATGTGGTTCATTACCACACCACTCGCATGCAGCACTACCGGCGGTTTGTGAGTGAGGACCTGAAAAATCACACCCAGCACGCAGTGCATGCTTAAGCTTCACAATCTCTTACAGAGAGGTAACATTCAAGATCAAGTGACATTTGGGGCTGACAAGGTCACCTGATTCATGGAGCTTCTGACCTGGTTTGAAGGCCAGCAGGCTGTGATCTACCACACATACAACAAGATAATCTTGATAAGCTAGGTCAAAGACAAGGCTTCACAGGAACTGTAAAGCTGCCTCGTGAAAACCAGCACAGAAGGAACAAGTTCCAGGCAATAGCTGCAAAGCTGAACCATTACCACAGGTATGACCTGTCACTGCCACTACGGTTTGGACAGCCAGCTGCCCCCTTCCTTAGTGCTGGTCACATTTTGAACCCCAACCAGGTGTCTGCGTTGAACTGTGACTCTCAGCTACTGAAAGCAATCCTGGGATGAGGCTAAAAGCATGACAATGAACATGATGCCTAAGTGAACTTTGTGAAAGAGTGCCAGATGCCTGTGCCTGTATTCTGGGACTCTGTCTGTGACCAGTTTACACATCTTCACACCCTGGCAAGATGCTGCCTTGCCATTCCAACAAACTCAAGTGGATGCTGAATGTGTCATCTCAGTGTACGGATAAGTGTTCACCCCACAGAGGCAGAGAATGTCTCCAGGCACTGTGGCTGGATGCACCATGCTTGCATTTAATACATAGCCTGAACCGCCTGTCTTAAGGTTAGCAGTCAGTTTTGGTAATCTCCTTTTTATAATGTTTTTTAATAAAGTGTATATAGTTGCTGTTCATAGTACAGCTGTGCATAGTTATGCTGTATATAGTACAGCTTTATTTTCATAAGATATTGTAGTTTAGAGTTTGATTAAGAGCTTAGATAGTATCACTTAATAAAGTGCATATAGTTGGTGTTATTTAATAAAGTGTATACAGTTGGTTTTCGTTACAATTCATTGCCTCTGCTGATTTATTTTAATAAGATATTTCATTTTACAGATTAATTAGGTGCTTAGTCTGCTTAATAATTATGCAGCAATTAATGGCTTCCACAGGCTTTATCCCCTGATTAAGCCCAGGGAAGACATTAATTGCTGCGGTATTAAGCAGTCTAGGATACAGTTAATGGCTTTTCCGGGTTGATCAGGGGTTCAAGCCCCGGGAAGCCATTAACCATGTCCTAGACTACTTGTTAATGTCAATCCCCTGATCAAGCCCGAGGAAGGCATTCATTGTCACAGTAGGAAGCGGTCTAGGATGTGGTTAATGGCTTCCCTGGGCTTGATCCCCAATCAAGCCAGGGAAAGCCATTAACTGTGTCCTAGACTGCTTAATACCATGGCAATTAATGCCTTCCTCGGGCTTAATCCCCCGATCAAGCTTAGGGAAGGTATTAATTACCGTGTTTACAACCAAACCCCAGTTGGGGCCATCTGTCAATATTTGGAGAGGGGTGGGACTTGGACAATCAGAGATGGGGGGTTGGGGAGGTACTGCTTGCCAACGCAAAAATGGCGCCTGACACCACGCTAGGAGCATGAAATCGAGAGGCAGCCACCCTGAATTAGGTAGGTCTCTACTTATTGGCAAGGTTAGAAGTATGGTAGTTATAACTATTCAGGGTGCATCACACAGGGAAAGCCTGGCCCACAGAGTTGTCACAGAGAAGAGAGGATGTGGGCATTCAGCACTATACTCACACTGAGTGGCTTCCCTGCCTCCAGCAGTGCCGATGTGATGTACGCAGTGAGTGAGATGTCATCATTTACGCCACCCTGCAGGCCACACAGAGAGAAAGAAAGAGATTGGGAGGAATAAATCTTAAGTGTCGCTATACTAATGCTAGGAGCATGGGGAAGAAGCAGGAGGAACTTGCACTCCTGCTTGCAAACAAGAACTTTGACTTGGTTGGGCTAACTGAAACCTGGTGGGACCCTAGTACCCATGATTGGGCAGTAAGCATTGAGGGCTATAGGCTGTACAGACATGACAGAGTAGGGAGAAAACAGGGTGGGGGGGTGGGTGCTGTTGCTCTCCATGTTAAGGAGCATTTTACATCTTCCATAATCAAAATGGGATCAGAGGAGGGGCAAATTGAGGTATTGTGGGTCAGAATACAAGGGGGTCAGGGAAAAGGGACTTGATAGTGGGGGTCTACTACAGGCCGCTACATCAGGAGGATGAGCTAGACCTGGACTTCTCAGGACAGCTCTCAGAGGCCGTACGGTCTAGGGACGTGGTTGTCATGGGTGACCTAAACTACCCTGACATCTGCTAGGAGGAGCAGTCAGCTGGAGCCAAGCATTCACATAGGTTCTTAACCTGCATACAGGACCTTCACCTAACGCAGGAGGTATATGGACCCTCTGGGGGACATTCCTTACTGGACTTGGTGTTGACTACAGGGGATGACCTGGTGGGGGATCTATGGACACAAGGTAACCTAGGGAACAATGACCATCAATTGATTTAATTCACTATCCGGCGTAGAGTGGGAAAGATAACCAGTAAGGCAGAAGTGCTAGGACTTCAGGAAGACTAACTTCAGTGTGCTCAGGATATTAGTTAGTGAAGCACTAAAGAACAGGAGCACTGATGAGATGGGAGTCTAGGAAGAGTGGTCATTCTTAAAGGGAGCAATCCTGTGGGCGCAGAAGGAGACAATCCCATTGCACAGGAAAGGGGGCAAAGGGGCCAAGACAACCTCTTGGCTGAACAGGGAAATCCAGGAAAGCCTAGGGGCAAAAAAAGAGGCACATAGGCTGTGGAAGCAGGGGGTAGCTACCAAGCTGGAGTATACCTACTTGGCCTGCAGTTGCAGGGAGGCAGTTAGAAAGGCCAAAACAGAAATGGAACTCAGGATGGCAATGAAAATTAAAGACAACAAAAAGTCCTTCTTCAGGTATATAGGGAGTAAAAAGAAGGTGCAGGGTAGCATAGGACCCCTACAGGACAAACTAGGGCAATTAGTGACAGATAGTGGGGACAAGGCTGAGCTCTTCAATTAATTTTTTGCTTCTGTATTGGACACAAATCAAGATAAATCTCTTAAGTGGATCATGGACAGGCACAAAAGGGATATCAGCCCACCAACTCTTAGCACCGACTTGGTGAAGAGTCACTTGGAAGGAATGGATGTATTTAAGTCAGTAGGCCCGGATGATCTTCATCCAAGGGTGCTGAAGGAATTGGCCAGTGTCATAGCAGAACCACTGGCACAGCTGTTTGAGCACTCATGGTGCTCAGGTCAGATCCCAGAGGACTGGAAAAGGGTCAATGTGGTCTCTGTTTTCAAGAAGGGGAGGAAGGAGGATCCGGGTAACTTTAGACTGGTTAGTCTCGTCTCTATCCTTAGGAAAACCTTTGAAAATATTATTAAGGTCACATTTGTGGGAGTCCAGCTGGAAAAATAATGCTGAAGGCAACCAGCATGGATTCATAGCAGGTAGATCCTAACTAACTTAGTTTCTTTTTATGATCAGGTCACAAAATTCTTAGACACAGGAATTGAGGTAGATGTCATTTACTTGGATTTTAGGAAGGCCTTCGATACGGTATCTCATCCTAGTCTCATAACAAACTGAGTGACTGTGACATAGATGATTACATGGTCAGGTGGGTGGCAAATTGGCTTAGGGGTCGCACCCAGAGAATGGTGGTGGACAGGTCAGTTTTAATGTGGAAAGATGGGGGCAGTGGAGTCCCACAAGGTTCAGTCCTTGGACCAGTCCTGTTCAATGTCTTCATCAGTACTTGGATGAGGACATGGAGAGCACTCTGTCCAAATTCACAGATGATACCAAATTATGGGGTAAAGTTAACACACTAGAGGCTAGGGAACAAATCCAGATGGATCTGGACAGGTTGGAAAAGTGGACAGAACAGAATAGGATGCAGCTCAACAAAGATAAGTGCAAAGTGCTGCACCTAGGGAGAAGGGGTCACCAACACACTTACAAGCTGAGGGAGGACCTTCTCAGCAGCACAGCAGAGGAAAGGGATCTTGGAGTCATTGTTGACACTAGGATGAACATGAGTCGTCAATGTGACCAAGTGATCAGTGAGCACAGCAGAGGAAAGGGATCTTGGAGTCATTGTTGACACTAGGATGAACATGAGTCGTCAATGTGACCAAGTGATCAGTGAAGCTAACTGCACTTTATCATGCATTAGCAAGTGCAGAATGAACAGGTCCAGGGAGGTGATACTTCCCCTCTATGCGGCATTGGACAGACCGCAGTTGGAGTATTGCATCCAGTCTTGGGCACCGCACTTCAAGAGGGATGTGGACAACCTCAAGAGGGTTCAGAGGAGGGCCACCTGTACGGTTAGGGGCTTGCAGGCAAAGCCCTACAAGGAGAGATTGAAGGACCTGGATCTCTTCAGCCTCCGCAAGAGAAAGCTAAGAGGTGATCTTGTGGCTGCCTACAAATTCATCAGGGGGCAGATGCTCTGTTTACCAGGGCACCCCTTGAAGTAACTAGGAACAATGGCCACTAACTGATGGAGAGCAGATTTAGGTTAGACAATAGGAAGAACTTCTTTACAGTGAGGTTTGCCAGAATCTGGAACGGGATTCCAAGGGAGGTGGTGCTCTCCCCTACATTGGGGGTCTTTAAGAGAAGGCTAGACATGTACCTGGCTAGACATGTACCTGGCTGGGTTCATCTAACCCCACTGTTCTTTCCTGCCCAGGACAGGGGGTCGGACTCGATGATCCACTGATGTCCCTTCCGACCCAAACATCTATGAATCTATGAAACAATGGGTCGCCCCTGCCTTCTAATATGGAGATGTCTCACCATGAGATCACACAGACCCTTCTCCATGCCCTACAAGGGGGAACGGGGTAGGATCAGTGCTTCAAACAAAGGGAAGAAGGTTCGTGCAGAGAGAGAGTTCACTGGGGAGTGTGAGATGGAACGGCCTTTTCTCCTATCATGTAATGAGGGGAACACCTAGGTATTTCAGTGGGGAGGAGGAGAGGGGGAAGGTATGATAAGGGGGTCTTGGTTTCTTATCATCATTTCCCTGGGCTCGAATAAAAAGGGATGAACTGGATGAACCCCACTACATCCCTCCATCAGACTCTGAAAAGAAGAGAGTGAGGGAAAAATCTTGTCATGCTGCGCCATGTCAAAGTGAAAGGTAGGTTGCCCATCAAGGCCTAAGAAAAGGTTACTGGGCCCCTACCCTAGGAAGGAATTACTGGACAGTGGCTAGGACAGTACCTTCATTGCTGTGTTGAAGAGCTTTCCCATGCTGGAGTAGCAGCCACTGGTCTGCTGGTGCCCAGCCATCCACTGCAGAGCCTGCTGGATGATCTTGTCATCTATGAAGATGTGCTGCTGGGCTTGGATGAAGCACTTGGCCACAAAAGCCGTCAGCCTGAGGCAGAGGAGGAGAGATAGAGTGCAGGGAAGCAGACAAGGTCATGGGTAGAGAAGGGGTGGCTGAGACAGCTTCAGGACTGGGGTCTGGGGTGGAAATTCTTTACTACATCAATAAGACCACATACTTACCATGTGCTGCTTTCTCCATGGTTCTCTCCAAAGGCACTGTAGGAGCCATCCTTATGTTTGTACTGAAGCTGCCTTTGGTACCCTGGGCAGGAGAAACATCAAGGCTGGAGACATCTCTGAATCCGTGAACATGCCCCAGCAAAATCAGAACCAGAGGGAGATTTAAAGGAAGACCCAGGAAATGTTCAGCAACTGCCTGAGCTTACACAGCAGCAATCCTGCCTCAAGGCTCCATCTCAGACCCAAGTAACTCAGAACCAGCTGTAAGGCATGAGTTCACACTAAGTCCCCCGCCCCAGCTCCCACCCACAGTCTGAGCACACTTTCTGGGTACTGTGGCTCAGGCTGACAGTGAAGAGGAGCCTGGGATGGGATGGGGAGAGCTGTGGAAGGGAAAGGCATTAGACTGACCTGTTTGCAAGAAACCCACAGCTCTTGCCTTCAGCTCTTTGCTCAGCTGCCCTGTTTTCTCCAGGTACTGCAGCACATAGACGATGGGGGCAAAGAGCACCATGTTCTGCTCTCCACAGCCATGGGGCATCTGCACCAGCTGGTCCAGGTTCTCCAGCACTGTGCCCATGATGTCACCTGGACAGACAGACACATGGCCACAGACAAAGGTGACCTCATGGACAACCACGTGTCTGTGTCTCATGAAATAATTTTCACTTGCATGAGGGTGCCCCACACATCACACCGCTGCTCAACTCACAACACTGCATACACCCACTGACAACAACCTGCCCTCGCAGCCCACTGCCTGCAGCTACAGACCATTTCTGCCTCTCCTGCCCCACCACTGCCAACCCTCATCTCTCCTTCCCTGCCCTCTCCAGTCCTTCAGGCTGATTATACCCATCAGTCTCTACCCCCTCCACCCTACCAACATAACCCACCTCACAGGCCCCCTCCCACAAGTAGACCATAGAGCTGTGTGAGTCACTGAATTTTTTATTCCAAGGCTGCACTAACATTTTTTTAAAATGGATTCAATCTGAACCAAAATGAATTTTATTTCATTTCTCCACTGAAACAAAAAGCTTTCATTTCAGTTCAGGAAAATCACTTCATTTGACCCCAAACCAAAACATCTTTTCCATTTCAAACATCTGCAACAAGAGCAAAGCGAGGGGCATAGAGAACTACCTCTAGGCCCCTTTCACAGAGCCCAACAGAGGCCAAAAGGGGTAGTCGTTATAGCATACCACAGCTCTATGGAGGGAGCAAGGAAATGGAAGACCTGCTTTTAATTCTCTCCACTGCTGAGGGGACTTGAGCTCACCTCTCCCCTATTTAGGAGAGCATCCTCACCACCGTGACAGAGACATTCTCTCTCTCAGTGAATATCTACGTACTTTTGTAAAGAGAAATACAAGAAACAGGAAAGACGGAAGCAACCACCTCAGAACAGCTCAGTTCCTGGGGGTCCAGGCACTGTCCTGGGAAGTGTGAGATGTAGGCTTAAGTCCTCCAAGGCAAAGAATTGAATTGAGCCTGGGTCCTTCGCATCCTAGGTGAGTGCCCATAAGAAAATGACACTAGCAGTGCAAGACCATGCACCTGTGTGAAGGGGACCCACCATAACCAATGTATTTGCTGAAAGGGGATGCCCCCTCCTACTTTTTTTAATCTAGCCCTGAAAAAAAATATTCAGTGAATTCATTCCAAATGGTTTCAACCCAACCAAACCCATTTTTTCTAGTAAAAAAAAATGCTAACAACCCTCTCCATCCTTGATACACATGCATAACCCTCTCATAGCCACCTCTACCCTACTCCACAACTATACGTACCTCCCTGTATAGAAGCCCTCACCACATCTATATAATCCTTCAAGAACATGCTCCCCTTCCCTGGCACCTCCACCCCCTCATGAACACACGTGATAGGGCTATGGCATCCATCTGCACCCTTGCCACTTCCAGATAAACCATGGCCTGACAGCTTACTTACCGAGCAGAGACACTTGGGCTCTGGCTGAATCTGGCACCACGTTCTCAGGTACTTGCAGGGACACTGAGTCTGAGGTAGAATTGCCTGCCGGTGAAATGCAGAAAGAAGAGTGAACCAATGTGGGAGGGAATTACAAGAGATCCCACAACAGCTAGAAACACTGTGAGATGCTCCCAGCAGGGAGGGGCTCTGGGACTGGGAGACATGGCAGCATGCAGACAAATAAACTGCACCAGCAGGGATGGAGGGAAGGAGAAGGGGCAGTCCTCATGGTTGTACCCTAACCCCCTCCCAGAGGAGCACAGGATGCAGCTCTGGCTCTTCTCCTCCTTCTGCCAGCAATGCCCAGGGAGCACTTTCCCTGGAGAGTACAGTCCAGTGAGGCAATCCTACTTGCCATTTGTCCCCTGGCAGAGCAAATGATCTTTGGCTCAGTGTCTTCCACCTGGTGAACTCTCCCCTAAAATGTGAGCATGCAGATGGCTTTCTCTCCCCAGTCCAGGAGTATGTGGCCACTGTGTCCCACTTGCTGTGGTCCAGTGTGACCCACCTACCTTCTGGGCAGAGCAAGGAGCTGTGAGACTTCTCCACAAGGATGCCCTCTGGCTTGGGGAAGAAACACAGAGAAACAGGTTAAAGTCACCATAAAAAACAACCCACATCCGGTCTTCAAATTTGGGGGACTGTGTGACTAGGTTGCATGAGTAGAGGCATCCAGTCACAGAGCAGGGAGGCAACACTGTTCACCTCCAGTGAGGCCAGGGTTGAAATTCCCGCATTCAGATCTGCACACCTTGGGCAAAATGCCAAGTCATTTTACTCACCAGCCCTGGCAAAAAAACCATGACTAGTGGGTGTTAGATGTCAAAGGAGGGGGAAGACATGCCCATGTTTTAGCCTAGTGGTTAGGACACCCTCCAAGAACAAAGACGACATGGACTCTAGGCACCCATTGCCTAGAAGCAATTTGAACCTACATAATTCACTGACTTTCTAACACAACATGCTGAGCACCAGGCTTCTGCTTAGGTAATGAGGGCATATTACCTAATAGCGAGGACTCTGTTACGCTATGGACTACTCACCCCAAGTAAACATGGTAGAATTCCCACCACTTGAGACAATGGAAACTAAAGCTAGGCAAAGTCTGGGAGAATGGGCTATAGGGGACCATCCTGCACAGGCCCTGCAGGGATGGAACAGAGGTGTGCAGAGGTGACTCCTCCAAGCTCTAGGCATCCACAATGCTTGGAACAGCAGTTAACTGGGACAGCTGATAGCAGCATTGAAACTAATAGTGGGGTATCTGCTTGTGCTTTCTCTCCACAGTTCTCTGGAATGGCAGGCTTACCCGGACAAGGAGATGTTTGATCAAAGTATCCTTCCAGCCCTTGCTTGGCACCAGCACCTTTTCACTGCCACACAGCTCTTTGCTATCCAACACCTCTGCAGTGATGGTGAAGTTTACCTCACCTGGTATTGAAAGGGAAAAAAAAAACAAAACAAGCTCTTCAGAGCTTCTGCTAGCACAATGCAGCCCACCAGGCCATTCTATCTGGCCTGTGGAGCCCCTAAAAAATTTAGAAAATTAATATTTATCTGCCCCTGGCTGCTTGTCATGCAGCCCTCGATGGCTTGCCAAAACTCAGTAAGTGGCTCTCCGCCTGAACAGCACCCCTGTGCTAGCAGCTGGCCCCTTCTTGGTAGAATGTGTCAGTGCAAGGAAAAGTGATAGTGCTGGGAAAAAGGGTTGGACTAGATCAGTGGTTCTCAACCTTTTTTGTACCAGGACCCTTTGTAAATATTGATGGACAGTCCCCACCCAGTAAATAGTTAAAGTAGAAAACAGCCCCCTGGTCCTGCTGGTGCCCCTCATTCCCAACCCACAGCCCCCCACTCCCCAGCCTTGCTGGTGCCCCTCACTCCAGACCTGATTCTCCCTCTCCCCTGTCCCCAGGCCCCATCCCCCACAACTTGTGGGGCAGGGGGTGGGTGTGTGGGGGGCATGGTGGGGGGGCACATGCCCCCTCAGATTTGTGTGCCCACAGCAGGCATGGGGCTGCAGCCTGACCAGACCAACATTGGCAGGAGCCACCCCGGTGCGACCTGGCATGGGAGGACAGAGTGGGGTGGTGATATTCTTTGCTGCCACCACTACCACCAGGGGACTCCTGCACCAGCCGTACCACCAGCAACACAAGCAGTAATAGACTGGGGGGGTAGTCACGCTGCCTTCACCTTCTCCCACCACCAGCCACTTGCATGCTGGGCTGCAGCTCTACCCAGCCGCCATACCCTGGCCACCGCAGCTCCCCAGCGATGGGGTAAACGGCACCTGTGCTGCTGCTACCCCACCTCCCCTCAGGGGTAGAGCCGCAGCTTAAGGGGAACTGTGGTGGCATTGGCCAGGCCATAGCAACAGGGTAGAGCCATGGCCTAGTGCACAAGTGGCTGGTGGCAAAAGGAGGTGAGGGCAGTGAAGCCCCTCTCCCACCCATTACTCCTTGTGCTGCTTGGCATGGCTGGTGCAGGGGTCCCAGTGGTGGTGGCAACAACAATGAGTCTCACCACCCTGCTCCACCCTCCCATGCTGGGTCCCACCTGCTGGACTGCAGAGGTGTCTCCTGCCTGTGCTGGTCCAGCCAGGTTGCAGCCCCATGCCTACAGTGGATGCACAAGTCTGGGGAGGCACGTTCCCCCCCCACCATGCCCCTCAGATGCGTTGCCTGTGCTCCTCCCCCCACCCCATAGACTTACCTGCAAGAGCTGATCTCGACACTGCCTAGCTACCACATGCATGTGTGTGTATGCATATGCACATAGTTCCCTCTGTCTGATCACTCTCCTCCCACTCCCCCTAGCCCCAAGCATCCCCTTGCAGGCTGGAACTCTGCCACCCTGTGAAGGGAAATGAATGCCTTCCCGTGTTTTTCTTCTTTAAAGGAGAATCCATTTTTAAAGTTTGTTTGCTACCCTTTCATATATTCTTGCAACCCACTTTTGGATCGCAACCCACGGATTAAGAAACTCCTGGCTGGATGACCTCTTGAGGCCCCTTTTCTAGGATTCTATGATCCTGTAGAAACCCAAAGTACAGGACCATAGCACTGCAGAGAAACAAGGCTGGAAGAGACCTCAAGAGGTCATCTAATCCAACCCCCTACTCAAGGAAGGATCATCTCTGACAAAAATCATCCCAGACAAGTGTCTGTCTAACCAGCTCTTGAAAACTTCCAAGGATGGAGTTTGCTCAGCCTTTCCTGGTAGTTTGTTGCAATGATTAACCATCCTCACAGTGAGAAAAATCTTCCTAACACCCAACATCAATCTCCCTGGTTACAGTTTAAGACCAATTTCTCCTTATCCTGTCCCTAGTGATTGTCTATCACCATCCTCTTTTACAACCACCCTTCAGGTATTTGAAGACTGTTCTCAATCCCTGTCTCCCAGTCTTCTCATTTTCAGCCCTAAAAACCCCAGTTCTGATTTCCTCCCCACCTCCTCCTAAGTCATGTTTCCTAGCTCTCTAAGCATGTTGTTGTTCTTTTCTGGACTCTTTCCAATGTGCCCACAACCTTTTTGAAGTGCAGTGCCTAAAACTCACCAGTGCTGCATAAAGTAGAAGAATCACTTCCCCTGACTTGCAGGCAACACTTCTGTTAATACAGCCTGGCACACTATTGGCTTTTTTGGCAACAAGGAAACACTCTTGACTCTTTTTCATATTATGGTCTACCATAACCCCCAGGTCCTTTTCTGCAGTTCTGTAGCCTAGCCAGTCATTCTCCAATTTGTATTTGTGCCTGTGATTGTTCCATTCTAATTATAGGACTTTCTACTTGCTCTTATTGAATTTTATTTTATTAATTTCAAGTAGTTTTTTAAGAACATAAGCAGTGCCATACTGGGTCAGATGATCTGTCCCAGCATCCTATCTTTGACAGTGGCAGTAGCAGAAGCTTTAGAGGGAAAGCATATGAACAGGATATATATGCAGTGATTCCCCACTGTTATACCTTCCCTGGTATCTACCATTATTAGTTTAGGGGTGTCATAGGATACATCCCTGACAGTTCTGTACAATAGCTATAAATAGACCTATTCTTCATGAATTTGTCTAAATCCTTCTTGAACCTGATTATACCATCTTCCTCCACAGCTTCCTGTGCCAACAAGCTCTAAAAGTTAACTATGCACTGCCTAAAACAAGACTCTCTCTTATTTGCTTTAAACCTATCTCCTGAGTTTCAATGGGTACCCCTTAATTCTTCTATTCTGAGACCCAGTGAATAACAGTTCCTTATTCACTTTATCTATACCCTTCATAATGTTATAGACCTCTAGCATAACCCCCACCTCAGTCTTCTCCTTTCCAAACTGAAGAGTCCTAGACTTTTTTGTTCATCTAAGTTTGCTTTGACCTGCCAGAGTTTGTACACTTTCCTGTTTTCCTCATTTAAATTCTGCTTGTATTGGCCTGCTTGATGCCCTTTTTTGATTTACTGTGCATACTTTTCCTGAGCCTCTATTTGGGTGTTTTTAAACAGCTTTGAAGCTACCTGCTGGCCTTACACATTTTTGACTGCCCCTTTTAGCTTCTTTCAAACTTCCTCATATTTGTGTAATTTCCTTTCCAAAAGTTGTATATGGGAGTGGTGGATTTATATGGCTTACTCCTCTGCCCTGGAATGTTGAATTTGATTATATTATGATCACTTCTACAGAGCGGGACACCTATAGATAGCCAGTAATGGATCCAGGAATGGGGCAAGAAACGTGCAGCCCCTGTTACTTTGGCTGTGCCGTGCACGTGTAGTGAGCTCTGAGCTCACTGCCTGGTCAATGTGGGCTCCTGATGGAGTTCTATGGGAGCAATGAGCTTTCAGTGCAACAGCTGATTGGGACAGGAGCTGATTGGAGCTCCTGCTTTCATGTGGCCTTACAGCCCAGGGGATGAGTTGCTACTGCTATTTGCCCCTTCCTTGCC